ATCGGTGGAGATTTGATGGAGTTCCGTGTTGGAGAAGTTAGGCACAGCAGGTCACGGGCATGTGCGGGCGTGGGAATCTCAGGCGGCAACTCAGAATTCCAGCCTCACTCGTTCCCACGGCGTCTAATAAATTGGTAAAAATGCTCATTGGCTGCGTGAGAGTTATCTCCGGCTACATTTCCAATTTAGGCTCTTAATTCCGTAAATCCATTGAGATATCGCTTATTTTCTCTTATTTTCATATTTTGCCATCATTTCAGATATTGATTGATATTCTTTTATTGTTACTGTTACCCTTTTTTATTACTTTGCCTAATAAGGTATGCAGGTGCCATATGGTACCAATATTTCTCATCAATTATTCTAAAAATAATTGTTCCTTATATCCTGTACATACCGGATTCTGGAAAAGAAGTTCTCCCCTCCCCCAATTTTCTCTAAGGTGCTAGGATGCGCTAGAGAGGGTGTGAGTGTGTGGAATTCCAACAGTAGGAATAAGGGCAGCTGTCTAGCTCACAACGAGTGAGTAGTGGACGCTGAGCCCGGACCTTGCGGAAATCCCGGAGAACCCACCACGGAGTTTAAGGATCGAGAGCGTAGCGAAGTCTAGTCAAGAAGTAGGAGTTTTAGGAGAGTTTGGCCCCGCGAGCTTAGTCGGCATAGAGAGCCGCTAGCCCTCTTGCAACGTAGCGCTCACACATGCAGTCAGAACAACTTTTATTCGATTACAACCCAAGTTACATACTATAGTACACGCAAGATGTCTCACACCTCTCATGCCATTCCCACCGCTGGCCCCGCTGCCAACCCCATCCCCACAATCCACACTACTACAGTCAGCCGTATGCCTGGCGCCCACTCCAGGGAAGCCCCCAGGTTCAAAGGAACCAAGCTGAAGAAGTTTCTCCACGATTTTGAACTTCAAGCCAACTCTGCAAATCTTACCAACCCGCAAAAATGCGACTATATTGTCTCCTACTGCACAGAGAAGGAGGCAAAGTTTATTCGCACTCTTGACAGCCTCCAGAACAAAGATTGGGATGCGTTGAAGCAAGATCTCTTCAACTTTTACCCTGGTGAACAAGAAGACTGTGTTTACCGCCCCAAGATCCAGAAAACTCGTTGAAAAGAAGCACAAGCTCAGGAACCGTAAAGACTTTGACAATTACCACAGACAGTTCCAGGTTATCGCCAAATCACTTGAGCAAAGGCATGCACTCAATGCCGGTGACAAGGACGATTATTTCTATCAAGGGATCAAGTCCCCCGCATTCCGCAAAAGAGTCAAGCAAGAATTGAAGGCCCACAACCGTTGGACCGACTTAACTCGTGCACCCCCTATGGATCATGTCGTCACTACAGCCAAGGAGCTCTTGCAGCATGACCTGTACCATGTAGACGACTCTGACGGCAACTCAGACTCCGCAAGCGAATATTCCCCCGAGAGTTCCCCAGAAGACAGCGATGATTCCAACGGCAACGATTCAGATAATGAGGCAACTGAGGCTGAGCCAGAACCTCCAACCTCGTCGCATCGGAAACTAGCTAAGCCACCCAGCAAGAAGTCAACAAAGAAAACCAAGTTCAGAACCGTTGAACCCGGCGAAGACACTAAGGCCGTCGAGGCCAAAGTGGAAGTACCCCAGAATCCGAACTTCAGATCCAACATGGAAGACCTTGAAGACCGTATGAACAGGCTAACTATTGCAATGGCCCGCCTCACAGACAGGACTCGCAATACCCGGCCTCCTCACGATCGCTGCTTCATGTGCAACGGACTCGGTCACCAAGCCAAGGACTGTGTGTCAGGGGACGCCCAGTTATCCGGCCCCCCTTTACTCTAAGCGATATCAATGAGGTAATCGTTAGCCGAGATTGCGTGAGATAATTACGTAGTTAGAACGCAGATATAACTCATTGCGCTATATTCGCTATCGTGTCACCCCTTACCCGATATTCCCTCATTTCCCGCATCTTCTATCTTCCTATTTGATGTCGTGTTTCTATTAGTTACCATCTTCCCAATGTAACTGCGCTCTCGTGAGTTAGCAGAACTCATGTACATAAGGCTACTATGCCAGCTGGGCTAGCCCCCCAGCTTTGATATCGACTAGTTTCCTGGGGATACTCTTACGCTGCAAATAGACGCGCGGACTCTGACACTGTGCTGAGACTAAAGCTTTCATCGCTGCCGGAGTACTCAGACTTGACACATCTAACAGACTGATTATGGCTGATTGTCAGAGACCAGATTCGAGACGAGGGAGAGTCTCCATGACGGAGGGCTTTGGCCTCAGCGACTTATGCCAAGAGCGCTGTGCCTAGTGACACGTCTGTGCCCTAACTTACTGACTGGCAATCAGAACTGAAGGGGGGTAACTCTAGTTGATTTTATTACTGGAGTGTAACCTATGTACAAGTTGGATATATATGGTTACAGCGAAGACAGGTCCGCAATTGGCAGAGCCAAACGGAGCGGAGCTAACGGGGTTAAACATTAGCCGACTGAATATTACCAACGAGTCGGGTCGCGGGGTTAGCGGAAAGGCAGGCGATAACCCAGAAACGGAAAGGAGGGATAGGCCCGAAGGTGGGCTCTGCAGGGCAGGCGAGTGTATTGCCCAGCAGAGGCAGGAGTGTGCTAGTGGACGTCGGAGCTGTCCGGAAGTCTTCGGGGCTCCGTACTTAGGGAGGCATAGGTAATAAATTGAAATGAGGGGGTGGTGACCATCGAGGGGTACTGAGAGGATTGCGGAATATGGGAGCTCTGAGGTTAGTGAGGAAGGAGCAGAGTTAGACCGGAGGGATTGGAGGGACTGGAAGTCGATGGCCGGGGATGGATATGACACTGATGGTTCTTATTTACCATGCAACCCCAATGGAGGGGGGGGGCAGCCTGCTTAATCCGTGAAAGAGCTAACATGCATACTAGTGCTGCCACTCTAGAATGGATGCACGACTACGAGCAAGCCCATCAAGAATTCGCTGTCTTAGGCGATGGCAAGTTTGAAGTCTTACCTGTGGAAGCGTACCCAGCCGAGAGAACTGACGCAGATAAGACTAAGCCAACTAGAGCCAAGCCGTATGACCGGGCCCCTAGTCCAGGGCCACCACTTCCCGTTAGGTGGACCATTCCATCCGAGGAATTGGGGACACCACCCAACCACGCGTATGTTGAGCTTCCTCAACGACCCGTTATCCTCAAACGGCCCCAGCCCCAAGACGTTCCAATGGTCAGCGCTGAACCTGTACCCCAAGACAAGGGGAAGCAGAGGGCGTATCCACGCCAGCCACCCGTCAATACAGCCAGCCCCTCGGGAACGAGTGGCCCACGAGCTAAGGTCACCTTTGAAGAAGGCCTTGCCCCTAATGCAAAGGTGCCACCTGCCAGAAGAACCGTGCCCACTTATAAGTTCGTGTCCGAGCTGCAGGATAAGTTAAACATCGAGTCTGCATTCAAGCAACTCATGGCACAGAATGTGACGCTGCCGCTGGGCACCATCTTAGGATCTTCTTTCGAGCTCAACAAACGCATGCAGACGGCAACAAAGGTTCAGAGGATCCCATTGAATAAGAAGTCCAGTACTGCGAGTCTGCAGTACACCACACCTGTCAACTATGACTCAGACGATAGCCAGCCCATCTACGAAGTCCATAACTTAGAAGCTGGTGTAGATAGTGTACCAATGCCAGTAGAGGACGAGCCAGCCCCCAGCGAGACAGTTTACGATGTCTTTGACTTAGATTCGTATTTCAATGCTGAGGATGAACCTGAGGATGATCACAAAGACCCCGATTTGGATCTGCGCCTCAACAAAAACAAGGATAACTTTGAGAAACCCTTTCAAACCTTTGACCTTAAAGCATGTCTCAAGGACGAGGACCTCTTCAACTTGGCCCTCCAAGTCATGGATGTCTATGACCATTTTGACGACGAGGATTCCCGTCAAGTGGTGCATAGCACCCCTGCACCAGTTCTGTGCCCCGATGCCGAGAAATTCAACAAGACCCTGCTTGAGAGGCGCGATTTGGACTCTCATTCCAGCAATAACACTCCCTGTGCACTTGACGAGGATTATGATTCTGATTGGGAGGAGTATATCCGAAAAACCAAAAGCCGGCAGCCACCAAGGATTATCGAGACTCAAGTAGACGATCCTTCGCCACCCACGCAAGATCCTAGCTCTAGCCAGGTGGTATTCGAGAGCTTTGGCCTTGAGTCCCAAGGCGATGACAGTAGTAGCACTTGGTCCATCAGCACGGATGACCAAGCTGAGAATTACTATCAGCAGCTCTTGGAATCTGAGCACATACGAGAATTCAGGCGCCCTTATCTTGGCGCCAGTACTATGTCTAAGAAACCCTCATTCTTGGCTATGGTAACCACGAAGATTCAAGGACAGATTAGCAACCGTCCTTGCACTATGCTAGTTGACACCGGCAGCGAGCCCAACATCATGACAAGTGAGCAAGCTTATGCTCTAGAACTCCCAGTAGACCCTACTGGTGCCATGTGGACTCTTCGCGGTGTATCTGGACACCAAGTCGCCTTAGAAGGTCTATGTAGAGACGTACCCGGTACCATCGGGGGAATTGAAGTTACCCACAACTTCTTTCTTACGTGAGATACCCTTCATGGAAAGGATATGATACTAGGTCAACCGTGGCTCTTCGGCCACTCTACTAGAATCAAGTATATGCACGACGTAGGAATGGTAATTCAAGTCTGGAATGAGGGAAACCGAGATAGCGGAGCATCCGTCCGCATCAAACTTCCGATCATGAATGCCCTGCAAAATGTTTATCCTATTCAAGCTCGTCCTTACATGAGAGCTGCCGCCACCACATACGACATTAGTACTGTGAGATCTGGGTCAGATCCCCAGACATCAGAGCCACCACAATTCCCGAGCTGCATTCCTTCGACATTCACCGCGCCACAGACAGAACTTAAAGAGCTAAGGCCTGACGGCCTCGATCATGTACTAGTGGACCGTAACATGGAAGATCTAGAAGTCCTTAAAGCGCTTAAGAATGCTTGGGTACCTTCCAAGGCACCCCATAGTCTGTGATTCACGGATTATACTGAACAGGTCAGCCTAGTCAAGGGACCGGGCTTGAACTCAGCTAAGGAAACGTCGACTGAGATGGAATGTTTTCCATTCCCCATGCGCGATTCTGGTCTCGTATACGCTTCAAATTTCCCTGAGCCGGCAACCCAAGTGACATCCTTGACTGCACTACCGGAGCAAAAGCTTAAAGAGCCAAGGCCTGACGGCCTTGACTATGTTCTAGAAGGACGGGAAGCAGCCCATGCTGAGGATTCAAGAGCTGCTGCAGGTCCCTTGGCTTTGTCTGGTCCGAATTCCGCGGGAATTGTCGAGCATGTCGATACCGCTAAGGGAATGGCTGCAGCACAAGATTTTGCGTGCATGCATCATGAGCCCGTTGTCGCAGAGTTATTGCCTGTAACCGCTCAGAACTCAGAGACTGGATGCACCGTTGTCAAGCCTGAATCAACGGAGGCAGAAATGATAGCTTGCATCGCACCGAAGTCCTTCACTGGACTTGAAACCTGTTTTCTGGTTAACTTCTTGACTGCTCAAGAGAAGCCTGTTGTCCACGCCGAAGTCACTGAAGTCATACACCCGCCAGAAGGCTGTGAACACTCCAGCGGGAGCCATGAGGATTCCTTTTGCCGATCCCAAGAGCTTAGCTCCAACAGTTATGACAATCGTGTCAGGAATTCAGATCTGGAGTTCCCTCCAAGCCAGCCGCGATGGTTAGGACCGCATATGGTAGACAAGAGACTTCGCAGCGGCGCCCTTGTGTTGCAAGAATTAGATGGCGAAGAGCCAATAATCCGAGAACCCGTTAAGGTTATGAGGAACCAGACAATGAGGCAAATTATGCGTCCTACGCCACTAAGTCTAGGCACCCGATGCCACCCAAGCCCTGGGAGCTCAAGGGCAAGAAGCTAGCTGAGTATTGGCAAAAGAAATACGAGCGCGTGCATGCCAGAGCCGAGAGTCCAAACCTGAGGCTCCCTCCAAGCCAACGCGGATATGAACTCGAGAGGTTCATTGACACACGATTTCAGGATTTCCGCCATGCCACTCAGCTTAAGGAAGACAGTGACCTGAAGACTTTCCCCCCCTGGCCCCCCTGACCTGTTTTATTGGTTATCCCGGGGCAGGAAGGGCTCTTATATTCTTCAAAATTCTTATTCCACGCGAAGTGATCCTGAGCATAAGTTAGAAGTCAAGTTATTATTGGGCGGGCCGACTATTGAGGTTATACACTCGAACAAAAGCCCCATGCTCGTTGCCGCTCCCGCCACTGAGACCAGTGGCCCAACTAATGGCAAAACCCCCTTGAAAATAACGCAATGCGAGATCAACCATCACTGTTACGGATACGGAGTCTCCAACGACCATATCCGTTGCATGGTCAAAGACTTCCCCTCTCTATCGTTCCTCCCCTCTTTCTCCCTTCTGCCCTCTATCCCGATACCCTATCCTCCTTACCCGTTCTACCCCTTTCCCCCCCCTTGTGCAAAGCTTTCCCCATTGGGGTTTTGGTGCTGGCCGAGGTTATTTGTGTTTCGCGGGATTTCCTGCGACCTTACCATTTGTAGATAGTCACGCATCTTGTACGGAAACCACCGAAGGCGGTTCCCGCTAACTAACAACTGCTCTACAACTGTCTCGTGTACCATCTTCTGTAACAACCCTCCCTGTGACTCAACTGAACCTGTGTGACTGTACAACTCTCAATATGTCTTATAAGTCTGGTTATATCGAGTCCTCTAACGGCCCTCACCGCGAGAACTCGAGGTCGAGAGTTGAAGACTCTCGACATGTGTATCGTCCTATCGAATCTGTACCCTATGGGTCCTCATCACTCCGCTCTCCCCCCAGTACTCAACATACGACGTCACCTCACGATCATGGAGATCGTGAATACTTTGAGGCCCACCTTCCTGTGATGCCGGCACGTTTGCTACGCGAATGCCAAGTCGCCGCCCATCCACTGTCTGTTCCCTCCTTCGCCAGTCATCATGTTTCCCCGCCAACGGTACGTTCCCTTTGGGAACGCCAAGTCACCGAAGGCCCTACTAGTCAGTCCTCATTGCACGCTTATGACATCAACCTGCTACCAGTACGTTCGCACTGCGAACGCCAAGTACCCGATGGCAACTATATGAAGTTCTCACCCATCTCACAAGTCGTGACCTCGCACACGGTACGCTCCATTGAGGAGCGCCAAGTACCCATGGTTGACCCATCCATCCTGGCATCTCCAACTACCTACCATCAATCCCTTAATAGCTCACTACATCACCAATCGCGATCGATGGGAATTCGATCGTCCACCCCCAGGCAAGACTGGGATCACTCATCGATTACATATCCTGTTATGGTACAGACCAGATATGACCTCACTCATCCCACTATAAGAACGGATCGAGGAATGGGGAATTTCCCCCATCCCCGTAACATTGGTGCCCCAACCCCGGTGCGAGAAACTCGCACCATGCCACCAAAGACGGTGTCCCTGTTGGGAGACGAACCAGTCACCCCAGCCCAAGTGACACACGAATTGTATCCTCCTTCCCGCCCCACGAGGATTAGTCAGTCAGATTGTAGATCCAATTCAAGAGATACCTCGCTGGTAGGCGAAGACGTGCATTCCTCGCCCGGCGCATTCCTACGACAACAAGCTCTCAGGCAAGTCATCGAAGCTCTTGGAGAGTTTGAAGGTGGAATTTTTGAGGATTTGAATAACTACATGAAACATATACGAAATTGGCATCATCTCGCTCCTGCTGATCTCGAGAAAGAGTCTGTTGGAGCCGGTCTCGAAGGAGAGCCATTGAGATATCGACTAGGGACCATATGGCGGGTTGAGCTAACCAACCTGCTCATGAAAATCACCGAGTTCACCCAGCTAGCCACCAAGGCCAACTTAGCCGCAGGTGATTTTGTAGTGGATCCCCGAGGCGACCTTGCCCTGATATTCACCATAAGAGGATGGTCGTCGCCTAAGGAGTTCAGCATTGCATGGAACTTCCTAGACCAGCGTTTCAATTCCTTCGAAAAACATTTCGATGCCATCAAGAAGGCTGCTCATCCTTCATGGGAATTCGACAAGTCGCGCATGAGTGGATTCAGGTTGGCGAATGTCTCGCCTGCCAAGTTTATGGATCCTGGGCAAGTTGAGGAGGCGTGGTCGACCAAAATGCGACCCACTCGGCAACCTGAAGCCCTCCCGTTGGGATGGACTACATTTGAGGATCTCATATCTCCCGCAGAAGAGACCACTTTCGTTTGTAAACGCACCCTACCGTCCAGGGCCTTCCCGGTGCCTAGACCAAGCATTAATGTTGCTGCAGGGATGCTACTCAGAGACGAGCCCTCGATGCCATTCGTCACAGTTCATCAAGAGACCAACGCTTTCGAGAACCCCAAGGAGAACGTGGGTTACACGGAATTTGTGAAAGGTCTGAAGGTCGGAAGGAAGACAGAGCTGGGACCTGTCGAGGAGAGACTTGATCCCGACAACCGTGGACCCGAACCCCCTCGTGTCCCTCACCATCCAGTGAATGAAGGACCCATTGGATCCAGAGATCCAGGTCATGATCCAAGACAACCACCTCCCGACCCCTGGCAGCTGCCACCACGAGGTGCGGGTCCACCACCCCCATCAGGACCACCACCTCCACCTGGACCACCTCCTCCGCCCGGTGGGGCTCCATACCCAGGGCACATTCTACCCATCAGATACGCTGGGGCACTGCCCCCTCCCCCGCCTCCCGGACCTGGAGCGTTGGCAGCGCCTCAGCAGAATCCTGGATACAGACCTCCTCCTCTTGACCACACACAACCTTACGTGGATCGCAAATATACTGCGTCAGACTTCCTGGAGTTCGATGGTTTGATCGACAGCTATATAACGTGGTGCAGCATATGTCGGAACCTGGCCAGGCACTCGCCTGCTTTCGCCCAACAAATGACCCACGTACTTCCTGATCGTTTCAAGGGTGCTATGGCAGACTGGTGGTCGACTGTACCGGTCACCGACAAGTTGTATTTTACCACCAATTGGGAAGATCTACACGGATATGTGCTACATTTCTTCTTAACACCCGCCTTCCTCAACAAGATTCGAGATCGATTCCACACTTGTAGCCGTAAGGGTGAAAGGTACTCTAAGGAGTCCCCGCACGACTTTGCGACACGCAAACTACGACTCCTACGCATCCTATATCCACTCGCCGATGTTCCCGGACCAGAGGTCTTGAGGGGCGAGGCCCAAAGACTTCTAGAAGACATCCCAAAGGATGGTGGGCCCATCTCAACATCGATCAGGTCAACACAGCCGAGGAACTCTTACAGCTGACTAAACTTAAGCATGACAAATTAGTAGCTAGCGACGAGTTCAGTATTGACGCTTTAGCAAACCGAGTCGCCCACATTAATTTGGAGAGGAATAAATGCGGAGGAGACTGTGTCAAGACCAGAAGCGTCGCCGTCGCATCCGGAAGCCAGACCTACCCTATGAGCGACTTCAAGTTGCGGAAGAAACCGCCCAGACCGTGTCGGCACTGTGGAAGTGCGAACCATTGGGACAACGACTGTCCCCCTAGGAAGGCTGATTGAGCCAGGAATGACCGTAAGGAACGTGACAACTCGTCCAAGTCGGAAAGTACCTACTGACGGGCTTATGCTGCCTTAGTGGAAGGTCAGGAAGCAGAATTCGCAGTGGCCTACACAGAGTTTTGTACCCTGTCCAATTCCGAATCGTCGGACATACCTGACATAGATAATGCCGAAGATTCTTCCTTTTCTTACATTGCGGCCTGTACATGGAAGAAGATCCTGCCTGACGAGAGACTCATTGGGGCTGCCCTGGTCCCAGGTGAGATATATGAAGCCCGTAAGATATTCGAGCGACCCCCAGGTCAGCAGTCCTTAGGATCTGATGCATGTCGAGTCCGTTGTCGTATCAACGCAATAGACGGGATCGAGATAGAAGCGTTGGCCGACTCTGGGGCAGCCTGCACGCTAATATCGACTGACCTGTACGACTGTATTAAAGGAGAAGGCACCTGCATTAAGCAAGGATTGAAATTGAATTTGGTTTAGCTAACAGGGAAGGCTAAATGCCAAGGCTACACGACGATTGACTTATACCTACCCTCACAACGAGGTCACGTCCTGTTGTGGGGTGGAAGCTTACGTAATCAAAGGGATGACCATCCCTCTGTTAATAGCTGAAGACGTGCAGACAGCGTTCCAGCTGCATACCATGCGTCCACCTGAACGAGAATTCTGGCAAGTGGCAGACTCAGACCACCAGGTTCCCCTCAAGAGCCAGATTCATCACGCGCCTGCCTATCCAGTTATAGCCGGACCTTCTCATTCTCGAGAACCTAAACGAGTGAACATCTCGGGTATGGGTCGACTAAAAATCAGGGAGGATGTGACCTTAGAACCGTACACAGTCCGCCTGGTTGGGGTCACTGGTAACCTCGACCACAACTCGGGGTACGCCTCGTCGAAGGACGGAGGATGGGATGGAAGCAGGGTGACTGTCTGCCACCTCCAACCATGCTCGTAAACACCGCCCATCCCTTTAGGCTGCCCTTGACCAATCCAAACCCATACCCGATCAAAGTCCAGAGCGGGACAACGATAGCATCCATGTGCAATCCCAACGAGGATCTAGATGGCGCCGAACAACTAAGCGAGCCTCAGATCCGTGAGTTCCTGAGTAAAGGACTATTAATACAGGCTGTCGTAGCGGAAGCCAATGTCCTGGGACAACCTGAGGAAGCCCATGATATGACGGAGCTTTAGTCGGACCAAAGACGGCGGAGACGATACCTGGAGATGAGGTCCTTCCTGAAACCTTGGTGGATGTGGTAGACGTAAACCCAGAGTTATCGCCTGTAGAAAAGGAGCAGCTCCGAGCCTTGGTGCAGAAGCACGAGAGGGCCTTCGCTACGGCTGGGAACCTGGGACGATATGATGCCCGCATGCATATATCATTAAAAGAAGGTGCGAAACCCATCTCGCTTCCACCATACCACGCCTCCCCTCTGAAAAGAGAGATCATCGATAAACAGTTAGACACCTGGTTAGAGATGGGAGTGATCGAGCCGTCCCAGAGTCCCTGGGGCGCCCCGGTTATAATCGTCAGCCAAAGAGGGAAGAATAGGCTCTGCGTGGATTGGCGAAAACTGAATGAGGTCACA